TGCGCACGTGGATATATAATGCATGCATGTAACCATGCCTTAAGTTTCTTTTTATCACATATCATTACTAACCTCTCGATTTTTAAAATAGCTGATAAAGTATATTTGACACTCATACTTGTAAAATCTATTGACATTAGCCATTTGATTAAACGAAAACAATGATAATTACCTGCATAACTGCGTTTACCTTTTGGAGAAGGCAAAAATATTTTGGCTGAATGACTCCCACAAGCGGTCGATTAGTATTTCGATTCGGGACTTCAACTTGATTCGTTCAAATTAGTTCAAAGTCGATGCAAAAATCCATTACTTTCTATCACACAATAGTCACAGGCTACACTTACTAGAAGATATAGTATTTGATTAGTCAATAAAAATACGCTTTTGTCCGGTGCTATTGTTTGTTCAATAAAATAAATTATTTTTTTTTAAGAACGGACTAATTCAAATAAAAATCACTAAGTTGAATGACCAAATTTAATCATTTCGAAGTCATCGGATTTAAAGGTTAATGAATGATCGGTGTCATGAATAAGTCTCAAAAGTTTCATCACATTTTTGATACTGTCTTCACTGTTGTTGAGTACTTCCTATGTTCTAAGGATTATTGTCCAATTAAAATTCTTATTTTTAATTTTTTTCACTGTAATTTTTTCTGTCTCAAAATTATTATTCAGTTTAGATTTTAGAATAAAGAAAGTATATCATCCTTACATTTTGATTAATCGTTTTTTTTTCAGAATATTAAAAAATCTAACATACCGCATGTGTTTTACCCGTTCAAATAAAATATCCTCAATGAATGAATATTATTGCCTTTGGCCCTCTGTCCTGCAACTCCTGGTTTTGGTTGCAGAATGTGGGGTGGGGCGGAGTATTTGACCATTTGGCATGTGATGTTTATTGCTTTTTCTAGAGTGATGATGATCTCTCATGTTTCATCTTGGTCGTCATATCCAATTTCAAAAAATAAAAATAAAAATAAAGAACTTTGTCATATCATGATCATTGGGAAAAAAAAATTTCTCCATCTTCATTAAGTAGAATCAGTCCACTCGTTTCATAAAAGAAAGAGTTAATTTTGTCAGATTGAAGAAATTATTTTAGCATTTTTTTTTTTGTAAAAATTATTTTAGCTATATCTATGTGAACTAGATAAAAGTAAATTATGTTCTATTTTTCTGTCTCCCTTTTTAATTGAGTTTTATGTATACATGACCACCCACTAAAGCTAACATTTTTATTTTTCGTGTAAGACTACCACAAGAATTTTCAATTGAAAGAGATTGATAATTGAGATTCAACGCTTATTGCGGCAAGGAAAGAAACTGAATAAAGTTGAGCAAAGTACTCCCTCTATCCACCGTCCTATACTAATATTTTATTTTGCTTAGCAGTTTAGACGTTATATATGAGATAAAAAAGAGTTTCTTTTTTTTTTCAAGATTATAATTGATAAAAGAAAATGGATTTTCTTCATTTTTTGGAAAAAAAAAATTAAGAAAGTCGAGAAGTCGAAACTCATCCAACTGTATTAACATATACTACATCATGTTAAAGTCACATTCGAGAACATCATCCGTGAAGATCACTTATTATTGCTGGTACCATGTTTTTACATAATGTAATAGAAATCATTGTACCAGGTTACCAGCAGCTTTAAAAACCATTGATGGCCTTTTAGTGTATGTCTCTTCTTCTTTTCCTTCTTCCTTTCTTTCTTCTATGTAAACGTTTTTCACGGGACAAAATTGATGGATTCAATTTGGTGGTTAGCTTCTTTGTGGTCCAATGCTATGTAAAATTAATGTTGATGATATTTTTGTTGTACGGATCACACCACGAAAGATTTTTTATTATTGAATGAATAGGAGCTCTCACGATCACGCTTATATTATGTGAGACTCAAGGTATCATTTATTATATAATTTTATCTGTCTTAAATAATTGTATCGTTTGAATTTTCATTTTTGTGTACCGAAATTACAAACCCAAAAATGGAATAGGGGAACAAGAGTATGTCTATCGATTTGATTTGAAACCCAAAACTCGCCTCTATTTTAGCAAAAGGATCAAAACCAAAGTATGCCGTACGTTAGCATATCCTTTTAGCTAGTACAAATGTGCATAATTCGTTTATTCAACACTTTTTATGCGTCTTCGAAGAAATAGGTAATCTTTTACGTCCATTTCAGAGAACGAAAACGAAATGAAGTTACAAAAAACTTACTGGCTTAAATTGCCATTAACTCTGTGGAAAACAAAAGGGCTAGTCACGAAAAGCTATTAAAAGTTCAAAAACTCATTGCAATCATTCAGAGACCAGGATTGCGTCCATGAATCAATTAATGAGTGGCATATTCAATTAATTGCGTCCATGACATCAATCCCAGAACGTCAGATCCTTTCAATTGAGTAGGTTTGAAATTGTGTGAATCATGCGATCGAGTTGTGAGTGGTGCGTTTAGATGAGCTGAAAAATCATATGACAAGAAAAAGTAACCTATTGATTGGGCCTTCTGTAATACTCTCTCGGTCCTTATTATAAGGCATTTTGATTCCGTTCTAGGTTTCACCTAGAATGTTTTTTTAATTGAAAAAAAATCTTAAAAAATATATTTTAACATTCGTTATTTTTCCTAATTATTATGAAATATTTTTAAGCTTTTTATCTCAATTAAAAAAGTATTTTAGGTGAAACTTAATACGAAATTAAAATGGCTTATAATAAGGACCAGAGGAAGTAATTTCGATATCCTCGACTTTAAATCACGTTCATGGATATTTGTTTTTCCCACTTGGATTTCATTTCACAACTTCGAAACGTTTGCATTACATGATATGAAATTGTGAATTGTGACTAACACTTCATTGTACGAGACTACGAGGCCAAGGGGCCGGGCAATAAGGGCTAATGTAATTACCTTACTAATTTGTTTGTGTTGACACTACGAGGCCAAGGGGGCAATAAGGACTAATATTCTAAATTATTACCTGTCTTAATGTGAGTTATTTTTTGAAAAAGAAAAATATTGAAAATCGATGTGTCACATTCTTATCCAGACTCGTATAAATATCAAAGCTTATCTTTCGAAATCTTTCCAATAGTTTGAGCCAAGACATGTCATAAAAATGGTGCTATCGATCAGTTAATGCATGGAAGCGAAACATCATATTCTTATGGTGACACTGTGACACTATAAATAGCCCCCTTTGGTGAACAAACTTTATATAACATATCTCATGTACGAACCCTATGCCATGAATTACACGTTTTGACAGAGATTTAATGTATATCTAACACAAGAAGAGGGCAGTTATCGATGATCATGAAACAAACATCCATCTCTGATCTTTATGCTATGCTTGAAATTGAATAGCCAATTTCTGTCAAAACGTGTAACTCATAACTTCTTAGTATTATTTTTTTTATTTAAAAACTATACTTGTAATTGAGGCAAACAAACTTTTGCCAATCGATCAAAATCAGTAATGCTGTATGATAGAGATCAACTGAGTAATTATACCCCTCTCTCTCTCTCTCTCTCTCTCTCTCTCTCTCTCTCTCTCTCTCTCTCTCTCTCTCTCTCTCTCTCTCTCTCTCTCTCTCTCTCTCTTTTTCTTTTTTTTGTAACTTTCTTTTCATTTATCAGGGGAAGCTGATAGAATTGATTTATAGACATTTTTCTTTCAAGTTTGAGTCAAAATATGTCACAGATTCAAAACTCATTTAATAATCTAATATAAATAGTTTACATTGAATTGTTAATCAATCCAAGGATGACTTCTGGTACTTTCTTTGTCGTCAATCATGCTTCTCTAATTCAAACCTTTATCAAAAGCCAGTTCATTTAACTAACTACTTATGTCTTTCTCCCTTTATCTTATTCTCTCGGAAGTGGCTAATGGCTATCATGCATCATGATGCTAGTCCATAGTTACCATCAAAATTTCTTCTAAGTAAAAGAGAAGAAGAAAAAATCTAAATCTATAAAGCCGACAGATTATAGTGGAGATTTTTATCATTACAGCTTTAAGAAAGTTAGAATTTACATAACCCTTCTCTCATCACTGCACAGAATATAAATTGAGGCAGGACGCGCGATGAGTAGACCATGGCCGATGCCTCGTGGAAACTGATAGCTTTTCGTACCTTAACATCAGCAAATAATTAAAGCAATCCTGCCACGTTTTCCCGCTTCAAGCATATTATTTATGATCTACGAATTAATCAATCACAGCGCAATCGATCCTATTTCGTACTCCCTTCGTCCTATAATTATTGTATAGTTTGAGTTTTAATTTTTAGTTCAAATTGTACTAGAAGTGAAATCTCAAACTAGAAAAATTTTAGGATAGAAGGAGTATTTGATTATGGTGCTAAATTGATAATATCGTTATTAATTATGAGATGAATATGTTGCACATGTGTTCAGCTGTTTTAGGTTTTGTATTACGTTCATATCGCTAGCTTGTAAAACAAATGAACTAACATATATGTTCTCAGACTTGTAAATTGAGGGTTGTATCTCACGATGATGATTTGGAAGATAGTTAAAAAGATGCTTCAGGTTGGGAGTTGAGATGTGTTATATACATACAAAGTGTTTACAAACAAAATATTATCTTTATCACCGCGGACCATCCATCAGCTGTGCAACACCGTCAAATAATGGTCCCGTACCGTACCTAGTGGTATATAGTGATAATTGAAGATGAAATAAATACGACTTTTAAGCTGAAAATTAAAATTTTAGTTTAAAAATACTATCATATATAATACAATTTATCTCGTTATTTGAGTTTGAAATGTTTTTGTTCCAGAAACTATGAATTTAGATCACTGACCATATATGCTCTAAAATTTTATTGTTCAGTTCAAGTCAACATTGTCACTACAACCTATAAAGTTTATAAAAAGGATAATATATCCTCCTTTTCATTTTTCTTAGTGTTACAATGAAAAAGACAATAAGTTTTATATATATATATATATATATATATATATATATAAAAAAACTCATATCAAGCATACAAGACTAAAACTAACTCAATAAACGGGCCTAAAGGCCTTATTGAACATATAGAGTAAGTACAACGCTTATGAAATTCAAGCCGTCAAAAAGTTCCATATTTATATCCTTCACCATCCATTCATATTTCAAAGACTCCAATTCCTCCACTCTCTTTACAATCAAGCATATCTTCAACAAGAAAGAAATTCAGAGAAAGATATCACCATCATGTCCATTGCCCTAGTGAACCATATGTGGTTCCATTTCGTCATTCTCTTGTCCATCCTCACCATTTCCCTATCCGAGGTAACTCATCATCTTCCTTAACCCAATTATTTCCTCCGGTCTTATTTATAAACAGGTTCAGTTCAAATTTTTGCATTGTACAAATGCTACCTAAGACATTGTGACATTTACGTTTTTATAACATTACTTTGTTGTTGTGTTCTTTTGGGGGGGTAAATTTCTTCCATATATCCATGCATGTAGGATCCAGCTCCCGCGGCAGCCGATTGTGTGTACACGTTCTACATACAAACGGGTTCGAATTTTGTATTCACCGGGACGGATTCAAAGATAAGCGTGACGTTCCGTGACTCAGCCGGAAACTGGATCCGAATCAACAACATCGAGAGCTGGGGCGGGCGGATGGGTCCGGGTTACGACTACTTCGAGGCCGGAAATCTGGACATATTCAGCGGAAGAGGTCCGTGCGTACCGGGTCCCATTTGTTCTTTAACCTTGACTTCAGACGGGTCGGGTATGCTACCCGCATGGTACGTGAACTATCTGGAGCTCACCACCACCGGAGATCACAAGTCCTGCGGCCGGCAGTTGTTCACGTTGGACACGTGGCTCCTCCCGCCGTTTTCGCTCACGGCGGTGAAGAACAATTGCGGCAAATCAGCGGTGGCGGAGGACGGTAGTTTTGGGTTGTCATCGGTTGTGGGTCATGACGTAAATTCCGATCAGTAACTTGCATTATGTTGCTCTTGTTTCTCATGCGCGGGTTTTATACCTCTCTTGCCATCATGGCAACAATAAGATTTGGCGGACTAAAATAATGGGCTTGAATAAATTCAGTTTTCTCTATCTTTTTTCTCGGGTTTTTTTTTTTATTGTTTTTTAAATTTTTGGAATGTGATTTTTTCTTGTTGTTGATATTATTAGTTACATGATCATGTATAATGTATTTTTATGGCTTTTGGCATTTGTGAACGATTGATAGCGCCCTAAAAGAAAGCTAATATTCAACTTATTTCATTTGGATGTGATCCGTACAATTTGTGGCTAGCATCAAACAAGTATAAAATGTAATTTTGTACTAGTATTTTTTTTTATAAATCTAAAACAAAAAAAATAACCATAAATCATGTGTAATATCACGTATCCAATAGTGAAATAAAATTTAAAAGAAAATGGGTGATGCAGAGAATAAGCATATTACACAAAGATTAAAAAAAATAATCCTAGTTAAAATTTATTTCTATAATGTTAATAATGCGATGTTAATTTTTTTTGAATATTTCAAAAAGGGACCTATGTACTGCCTATAAAAAGGTTTCGTAATTGGATTGCTTATCAAAATGAATTTAAAAAAAAAAATTCTTGAGACCAGATCATTTGTCAGTTTGGCAGATTTGATTGCTTTAAACCAAATCGTTGACACCTTTACAAAAACATTTTAGTATAAATTTCAAAAATTGATATGGACTATTTTCTACGGAAGGATTAGCAGAAAATTTGCTTCGCCTGTGAGTTTAGAACAGGGTGGGATCTTGGCCTCTTGGGTTAAAAGGAGAAAATGGGTCAAACATTCTGGGTAAGGTAGTTAAGGATTGAGTTGTCAAAAAGGGTTTAAATGCGTGATTGGGTTGAGATGGGTGAAAACTAAAATAGGGCTGCAATAATTATGTTTCCATTTGGATCTAGGAAATGAATATGGGCTTAAAAAATTTAAAGAGTAAGGAAATGAGTTGAGAGGTAATTAAAAATTTCCACAATTCAGCGAGAGGGATTAATCACTGTTGCCGACGGTAGACACGCTGTAAATATAAGGGAAAAAAAAAGTTTCCACAATCAAAATGGTAAATCAATTACTTTATTCTATCCGTCTCAAAATTATTGTGAAATTCTGATTTTTATTTTTACTTTTAATATAATTGAATTAAAATTGAAAATGCAAATTGGAAACAGAGAAAACAATAAGAATGAAAATCTAAACTCAATAATAATTTCGAGATAGAGAGAGTACGTTTTTAGTAAGGCTCATAGGAAGTTTCTCGTTGCTTCCCATATAAAGTCATGGGAGTTCGTTGTCAAACAATTTCAAAGTCATGAGTGTTCATCGGCGCAAAATTTATGGGGCATTAGCTCTCATTACATATTTTCCTACCATAGTTAACAGGTAAAATAAAGCATTGGTGGTTCAAGATAAGCTATTTAGTGGATATCTTAAGTGACTTCAGTATCAAGTTTGAATGGTGGGACTTGCTTAATCAAAAAAAATGAAAACAATATTAGCGCTTGAAAGGCGTTAAAAATTTTGTAAGCCCATGTAGATGAAAGTTAAATCTCAAATACTTTAGTGCTTGCAAAAGGAAAGTTAAATCTCAAATACTTTCGAGATGGACGAGGAAACGACCACCTGAAGTGAAACACAATCGAAAACATAATCAAGAACTTTGAATACTCGATCAACCCTCACAACAAAAATGTGGTTCTCCACCAAATTGTTCAATAAATCGCATAATTTACAATCACCATCTCAAACTCCCTCAGTATATGAACCCATTGTTTTCAATCCAGTAAGAGAGCCAAGCCCACATAGGCTGGCTAATTAATTCTATTGGATCCTATAACCTATTTGAGCCTCTCTAATTTTTTTTTTTTTTTTTTTGGGTTTTTTCCTAAACCAAGAATCCTTGTTTGCTAGTCCAGCCCAAGCATGCAAATCTTCGAAAAAGAATGTGTGGAATCAATTGATTTTTTTTTTTTAATTATTTTTTGCCAATCTAACTGATGTGCATTCTGATTGTGCTCTCTATCAAATCTTGGTTGTTGCCTGGAATTTCTTTTGTTCTTGAACCATTCGTGTATACTTTGAATGCTGGTAATGAATTCACTGCTTCTGATTTTGCTAATGAGGGTTGGTCTTCAACTTCCACCTATACAAATTGAACAACAACAACAACGTTAGATACAAATGTAAGGTATGAACTGAAACCATTAAAAAGGCAGCAAAAGATGGTGTTTGAGAAGCAACGGAAAAGATTTTTTCATGTTCATATATTATTCTTAATATATTGATTAAAAGGTATGAAATTTCATAATAACAGATGTCAAACCTTGAGGAAGTTCACGGATGGGTATCTCTTTTGCAGCTGCTCCAGAAACTGTATAATCGACTTGTCTCCTGGCTTGTTACAAAATAGGACCACAGATACACCTTCAAGATCCAAAAAAAATATGCATACAGAACTCGTTAAACTGTGATGCCCCCATCATAGACAAACGCATTTCTATATTATAATATAAATAAATAAATAACTTTTTTCCTGAAACAATGGTCCATTTTGTCATATTATTTTTTATTATAAAAAAAAAAAGACAATCATTTTGAACGATTGAGGGAGTTGGTGCTAATGTCTTAAAAAAAAAAGTTTGTATCCTAACTCGTAACCAAAATCAATTAGATTATTTTGAAGTCAACTAAACCTAATTACTTCATAACACGACGCATTAACATCCTAAGATGAAACAGGAATAAGTCTGCAACAAATCCTAGTTTAGGTAGTACCTAACATTTTATTTCATTTTTTTTTTTTTTAGTGTAAACACCTTGCACATGGTTTGGTAGGAAGGGCAAAAAAAATTTAAAAAACATACTGTTGGCGATAACTATTACATTAACGTGTCAACTGTAAACATACCGTACCTTTAGATTATATAAAGAGAAGTGTCCAAATTAAATGAGAATAGTCTAAATCTTAATATGTACTGAATTTTAAAAAATTACGTGTAAAGAAAAAAATCGATAATGATATTAGATGTACTTGATTACCAGATGATGTAACGTAGTCTTTGAAATGTTCGTCGCTTGACACGACAATAATGTCATTATTGGACCGGGCACGGTGGTGGTGATTAACAACATGATCCGCACTACTAACATTTCCGTTGCTGTCTGTGTTGTTCACGTCTAGCCCGCCACCACCTCCGCCGTCACCTTGCTGTCTTCTGAGCTGTGATTGGGCTTCCTTTAGCATCTGTCCAACCTCCTCATCATCCGGTGCATCTCTTAACAATATTTCACAATCTTGTATACATGCCTCCCATTTTTGCAACTACATATAAAAATCAAATTAATTATAAACAAAAGTGCAAGACTTCAAGTTTAAATCTATGATTTGTTAGGGTATCGATCACCCATTGGTCTTTTAGTAATAGTCGTGTTTCTTAAAACTGAAATAGTGAAATAGTCTAATTCTCGTGACAGAAGAAATCATCTTAAACTAACCACATCAATGAGAGCCAAAATGGAAATGTTGACATGCTATCAAAGGAATTGTTTTTAGTTAGTGGGTAGTGAATTAGTTGAATTCTCAAGACGGGTTGTCACTAGTCAGGGTGCTACTTTTTAAGATCGAGTTCGATTACTATTATTCTCCCCGTCTAAAAATGAGAGTATATTATAGAGTTGGAATTAAATTTACCTTGGCAAAGCAATCGCTTCTTCTTAATCTGGCCTTGCTATAAGAAGGTCGAATATTAAGCGCAGCATTACAATCTTCTAATGCCTTTTCATGCTGACCAAGTTTAGTTCGACAGGCAGCCCTATTGCAAAGCAAGACAGCATTATAGGGATCAAGGTTTAGTCCTTCCCCATACGCAACACAAGCCTCTGAATATCTCCCTGACTTGAAAAGGTCATTTCCTTTTGATCTGGCGGTCGCCACGGCTCTAGTTTTCCTTACCAAACTACTCGCTTCTTTGTTGTTCTGGTCAAGTCTTGCAGCTAATTGGGCTGCTGTCGCAGCTTCCTCAACCCTTAAGTAAAAAAACAGAAAAAAAAAAAACAAATTTTTTTTGTGTTAGTTCCACCAAACATTCATAGTCATTGACAAAACTTGTTTTAGATAACGAGTTCTTCGCCATCTTGTAATGTTTAATTTTATCGTCCTGTTTTGTTAGGATGTCACAGTATTGATTAATGTTAATAAGTTAATAAACCGTGTAGAGAATCAATCAAATGTAATATTAGTTTGAAGCCAAAAAAAAAAAAAAAAAAAAAGGGAAGTTCAATGTTGTTGACTGAGGTTATTGATTAGTAGAGGCAGGGGAAGATGCAAATTGAGGTCACTTTTGGTTTCTCTTTTTACTAACAAAAGATACCTCCTTTTGAGTTGTTCTAGCAATTATCAACAGGTGCAGCAATCATAAACTAGTAAAGCATGCCTAATTGCCTCTATTAAAGTATACCCACTGTTGATAGAATTTACAAAGAGTAGACAAAAATTGTATTCACTTTTTCATGATTTGATTTAAGGGGCTGTATCTCTAGTAGGCATCTTAGAAAACCTCAGCTTTGAACAGATACTTTCTTTTGAGCTGATTCATCATTGAGTAATACAAACCTGCCTGCAGAGAGATGCACTTGAGCCCGGATGACCAAAATGGTTGAATGACCAATGGGACCTAAAAATTTTGTGCACTCATCATCATCGAAATTCGGACCATTCTTCAGTGTTTCATCAGCTTCTTGAGGTCTTTGAAGCTTTAGCAAGGCTTCCGCTTTCAAAGCAAATATCTTTGCCGAATCAAAATCAACGAATTAAAACTCGCGAGTCAAGCATAATTCTGTCTCAAAGTATATATTATGGAAACAATTAACGCTAATGCAATGTTGAAAAATGCATGGCTAAACTACCTGTGGAGCAGAATCAGCACCAGCTAATATAGAAAGGCCTGTTTCTCTCAATAGGGTGTTCCAATCTCTCTGCATTTTGGCATCAGTACACTTCATCAAATGAATCTTGAGTTTTCTTGCTTTATTCATAACATCGGGATCAGCTTCAGCCCCAGCATATTTTTGATGATAAATGGCCTTCTCTGCTTCCCCCAATCTAATTTAGACATGCATCAAACATAACAAAACTTCAGACATGAAATTCTGAGATTCTTGCAATTTTTGTAGTAAATATTCCAAGTTCTCTGTACCTGACATATAATGTTGCCAAACGATTATGAGCTCTTTGATAATGCGGTTCAATTCGAATGGCTTCTCTACACTCGAAAACAGCTTCAAGAAGTCTTCCAAGAGCAGTTAAAGCTGCTGATTTATTGCTTCTGTAAGAAGCCTTATTTGGATCAATGGAAATTGCTGCATCATATAAAGCCAAGGCTTCTGCAAACCTTCCATTCTTGTAATCCTCATTGCCCAATATTTTCAATTGCTCAGGATCCATTCTGGTGGAAATAGCCCTGCAAAGGGAAGTTGGCTTTTGGGATTGATCCTCGTTCTGTTTCTTCACCACATTCCCCATAACACTATTAGGATACATTCCATTTGATGCTGCTGCAGAAGAAGATTGTTCCTCTTTAGCAGTCCTGGGAAGTTGATCAAACACATTGCTGGTATTCCAATTCGCATTTGCATTCCCTCCTCCTCCTCCTCCTCCACCTTGCCTCAAATTCCCCAAATTCCCAAACAACATTACATTGCTTGAAGACGCCCGGACTAAATTAGTCGCACCCTTTGATCGTTGGTGATCCGCGATCATGCTGTCGAGCTCCCCTGATATGCCGACATTGCCTTGCGAAACCTTTCTTCCGACGCCGGCATAGCCTTGGAGATTCGCAGCATTCTCGGGTGTTTTCCTGCCCTGATTCGGGTAATTCGCGGGCGGAGGCGTTTGGCGTTGCTGTTGTTGATACACATTATTACTACCTGGAGGGGTTTTGGAATGTGGTGCTGGTCTCTCAATGATTCTATCAACTGGCTTATTATAATCAACTACTTCATCCTCTAGAAATGAGGCCTCATCGGAGCCACCCCGGTACCTTTTCGTCACCGGGGTGCTCGGAATCCTGGGAAAATGATCTGGAGTGGCATTGGCAGTTGTGGGAAGTGAACCTGTGGAAGTTGATCTTCTAGGCCAAGTCCTCCTCCCAAAAACAGCACTCAATATGCCACATCCTGATTTTTTCTCAGGAGAAGCATCTCCCATTTTTTTTTTCTATCAGGCTAATAAATTACAAAAAGATTTTTTTCCCTAAGCCACAAAAATCAAACCCTCTATATACAAAAATCAAGGCTAGAGTTTGGAGAATTTGAAGACAGAGAAAAGGAGAAGGAGAAGGTACTGTTGATTCGTTCCTAGAATGTGTGCCAAAGTATGAACATGCATGGGAATTTTCTTATAAATTTGTTTAAGGGGGAAAAAGTCTAGTTTTGGTTGGAGGCCATATGTAATTTTTTATTCAACCCCTCGTGGGGCCATCAAATAATACTAACTATCTAACGTCGATAATTTTGATATCAGATACGTTATATATCTAAGGAAAAAATTCTTGTTTAACAAATGATAGATTGAAAAGGCAAAAAATAATAATGCAACAGAAGTGGGGCAATGTGGCCTACAACCCCCAGGAGATTTGTATCATCCCCTGTAATGGACCATGAGAAATTTCAAGCCTCCTGGAAGTTGCTCCACCCCAAACACAAAACAATCCACTCTGTGTTCTTTTCCCCCTGTTCAATAGAGGGATTTTTCTTTCATTAAAAAAGACAATTTAGCAAAAAAAACGAGAATATGATTGCTATAGAGAAGAAAGAAAGAGAGCAAAGATTTGGAAATGGGAAAAAACAAAAAGAATGGGAAAAAAAGAGAAATTAATTTAGAGGCTGCTTTCTTTTAAGGAATGTAATTTTTAATTTTTATTTTTCCCTTCACTTCCTTTTTCTTCCCCCTAATTTTTTCTTTTGTTTTTTATTTTTTGCGGTGGAGAAATGGGAAGCAAGAGACTCGGTCATTGAAGAAAGGTGGATCTCTAAATTGTTAGGAATTTATAATAAAAGTCATCAACCATAATGATACTAGTAGTTGATGGTGTAGAGTTGTATAATTTTATTCATTTCCTTTCTTAACATCTGTTTATAATTTTATTTTTTTTTTATTCAAGAATCCTCATAGACCGAGGCCAACCAGGTGACATTTTGAAGGAGTGCTAAAAATAATGTTTTCTTAGCCAAAACTTCAGAAAGGTCATGAGTTCACGTTTTGGTTTTTGATTTTGAGCAACACACGTTGGAACTCACCTCCCTCCAGCTGGTTCAGCTGCCATTTCCCCTCATATTGACTATTCCCCCCATCCATTTCTAAGGTGGTGGCTAGGAGTTGGAATATTTCTTTATTTTCTACTCTCTCCCTCTCGAAATGATTTATCGATTACCGACATTAACAGAACAAAAAATCATATGATAATCGTGTAAGGACAACGAGACTGCATTTTTTTTTCTTTTTGCGAGATGTAAATAATACAATGAATCACATTAGTAAGATAAAGATAAAAGATATGGCGTCAAGGTCATATTATACTGCTTTTGTTGATACAATTAGGAACAATAAATGGAAAAACAGCATACTGCAGATAATTAGTGATAATTTAGATGTTAACACAACAGATTTGATTTCTTTTCCAGTCCACAACGTTTGTTTTATTTAGAGTTTGGTTTGGTGCAATCTGAATCAACCGAAGTACCAAAATGGTGGTGTATGTTGCCAGCGCGAATGTTGTTTCATATGGGACTTTGAATCAAACACTTTATCATAATTCATATCCAAGAAAACAAAGAAGGATGTTTGTCGATTCACTGTTATCTATGTACTGAAATTCGAGGAAACTAAGGTAGAGTTGTCGCCTGTTGGACAAAACTTGCCGGCATTAGTGTTTTCTAATGAAATAACCAGGCCGCTCTATGACCAATCATTCATGTGTCGTTTCTGTCAATATGATTAGGAAGGGTTCTCAGTTTCCAGGCAAATAGTTAGTAAACCCCAAAGCTAACTAAGGGCCAAAGTATTGAGGAGGCAAAGTGTCACGTAGTCAACTGATTAAGGATGAAGTTTAATGCTATTCAAGATCCAAAACCTGATGCTTTTCCTACCCCAAAAAGAATGCCGCCGATTGACTACGAACTTGATTTTTTCAGCTCCTTTGCTATGGCCTCTGACAATTCCTCTGCGTTATATTCCTCTCCGAAGCATTTCACAACTACCATTTTTGGGTCTAGCAAATACCTGTTACAGATCAATGTTGCCCATTTGTTTCAGAGAAACCAAAATGACAGAACAATACAAAGACGAAAATGAAAACAAGAGCCTAATCAGGGAAAAGGCGATGAAATCATACATTTTGTGGGAAGATTCCACAAGATAATCATCTCCTTCTTCATCAACCTTTCTGAAAAATACTCTGTACTCTTGTGCCATCTGTCTTATAGCAGTAACTGGTCCAGTCAACCCTACAATTCTTTGATCAAATTCTGCAATTCACATCAGTACAGTGAGCACAGCATTGCTTTATCATCGGCACAAAACAAGAGCAGAATGACAGGATTATCGGTACATTTTTAAGATTTAGAGTAGAAGACAGACGAAAAATGAATATGTAAAGTAAAAGCTAACCTCTAAGATAAGCACGGAGGTGGGCAGGGGTATCCCGATGAGGGTCAAGTGTGACAAATATTGGCAGAACTCTAAGATTCTGTTTAGACTCTTGAATGAACCAGAAAACAATTACGTCAGTTGACTAGCCATATAAGAAAGGCCAAAAACAACTATCAGTTTGAAGGTAAAGAAAAAAACCTAATGCATCAACAGCTTTTGCCATCTTTTGGACTTCTGATGGCCCTACATCAGGAGAGGAAGTGTAACCAAAGTAGAGAAGAACCCAGTTTCCCAGAAGACTTTTCTCAGTGACCACTCGACCTTCAGTGTCGATTAGACTGAAAGGACCCCCAATGATGGGCCCTTCAATGGTGCTCCTTTGGAACTTCACCTCCTGGCCTGATTCAAAGAAATGGGAAGAAAATTTTGATGAAAACATACATCAGCAACCGACATGTTAGCTTAAACTCCAGTGTAAAACTGTAACAAATAGCCAAATACAAATTAAATGAGTGGTGTAGTGTGTAACACGTGAGCTTGATCAAAAAAGTTCCCTAACTCGGCCATAACTTCAAAAACAGATCGAAAAAGAAAAATGACAAGTCAAGCATCCCTTTAGGAGAGCCAGCAAAACCAGGCAAATTAACTCCATTTACCACCAATCAGCAAATAAATATTATTTACAATCTCCATCAAAACTATAACTTGATAGCTTGTTCAAAACATTCACAATAACATCATTAGATGAAGAGAAAAATCATTTCACTTGAAAACAGAAGAGAGGAACCAAGTAGAGCTTGTACAGAGATCACGATTGTGCATGTATATACGTAAATCACTAAGATTAGGCAGAAGGACAAAGTCATTAAATTCAATTAGGAAGTATCATACAAGCTAGTTCCCTCTATCCAAGTAATCAAAACACTCTTCAACAAGCCTGACCTTGCAATTGACTTCGTGCTATACATGAACTTAACAGCAGTTACCGCACAAGAAAACCAAATATTAACAGGTAAAGGGCACATGAAATGTAGGTGTTTCAAGCTTCCAGTAAACTATTGAATGCGTAAGTGATCTCTTTTCTACCTCACTCTAAATTGTACCTGTTGACAAGCTCAAGTAATTGTGCTTTATCCGAGGATCACTTTAGCATGTTCACTTTGAGTCATTTAGTTTTGATGAGAGTAACAACATTATTTCACAACAAAACCACCTTAAAGAGACAAGAAAGATTTAAATCATTGCTACAACACAAACCTTATAACCCTTTTATACGCTTTTCTTTGGTCAGAGCATTGCGCAAGGTGCTTACTAAACGTAGGAACATAATAGGAATAATGGGCGATGAACTGATAGCAAGTGATGATATAGAAACAACATCAGCATTCTCTAAGGAAAACATATTTTCTTAGGGGTACCTTTAGGAATTGCCCTCCTTTCATCATTGTAGTGAAGGAAAAACGCGAGACCACCAACTCCAGCAATGACAGCAGTAGGCTGCAAACACATAGTCGATCAAAAAGGAGAACAAACAAAAACGAGGGGAAAGTTAATGATTAAACTTTATTAACATTCATCAGATAAAAGAGAAAAAACAGTGTGTTGAATTAGCATACAATCACATACGAACTCCAAGAACGAGAAGTAGGGGTTCTTTCAGGCAACACAGGACGATTCTTTGTAGCCTCTGCCACCTTCATGGGTCTCCCAGAATGAAATCTCCTAACAGGAACAATCCTACACCAGAAATGCTGAACTTAATAAAACTAGCAAGAGAACAGTACCATCCACTCAAACTATTAGTAAAGCGATCGAGAGTGCTTTTTGGGGGGTACGTGCATATGACGGATGAGCAAGTACATGGGTGCTGGGGATTCTGGCAAGAACAAGAAGATTTGCATTCGTAACATTTTCCATTAGATAAAACTATAGGCCTTGTAATTGTGGTTTGAGTTTTCATATCATTTCTAATTTTTCTCAACTTTGAACATTTTGACTACAAAACCAAAACCAAAATCAAACTGCAGTCAATACAGACCCATTGAACTTTTCCTATTAATAACGAAGCAACTTTACAATCTGATAAAAAGCAAAATCCAATCACCTCCATGTCAATCGATGCGTGATCAAGAGAGTTATAGAAACAAACTGACCAAACCTCCCTTCCCAGTTCCCATAACAGAAAGCAATAAACCGAAACTAAATAGACTTCACTTTTCGATTTAGTTGCAAATGAACCAGAATGCCATAGTTGACAATGATACCCCAAACACCTAAAGCTTCGAGAAATTAACCAAATATAGTTCCTACATAATTCTGACGTATACTCCTGAGGTAAATTTCAATACACGAACACTTCATTCTTTCCTCGACCCAACGAGTTTACAAAATTTTCCCGGGTTTAAACTTAGTTCAAACCTCCTTAATGATCATTCATTATAAGGACCCTCAACATATTACGAAGGTTTTCTATCTAATCAATGAAGAAAAAAATTCCAAACCAAACAAAACCAAGAGAATTGAACCCATAACACAAGGCACCAATTAACACAAAACAATATAAATTGACAAGAAATTGAATGAAGCATAAAAAGCCATCACAGAAACCACAACCCACGAAGAATTTCCTAGGAAGGATTACTATAAGGAAGTGAAAATTTCTTGAAAAAACAAGCTGTGGGATTCACCTTTTCAGTGAATCAACGGACACGGCGCAGCGATTTCTCAAGGAGGAAGAGAGAATCCTCGACAATGACATTGCGATTGATTTTATTTTTTTCTGTGAATGTGAAACTTTTCTTCTATTTCATTGGGGAATTGGGTTTCTTCTTTATATGTTTGATTTTTAATCTGTGATTTTTCTTGTGCGATTTTTGTGACGAGCGGAAATGGTGATGAAGGTGAAGGGGAGAAGAACAGGGTTTAAGAGACTACCGGAGCTATGTCGTTTCAATTCCCTTTCTTTCTGTCCAAGAATGTCTTTTATTTATTTTGACTTTTTTTTTTCTCTTTTTCTAATTATCTAATCTTAGGCTTTTATATTACTCCCTCCATTCCATTTCAATGGTTCACTTCTCCTTTTGGAATGTTTCAAAACTTAGTTTCACTTCAAACAATTAATTAACTTTTTTCTTTTATAAATTCTCGAATATACCCTTCCCACGTTCACTGAAATTAAAAACATTTAATAATTTCAACTATTACTTTCTCATATCAACAAATAACTCATTAGTCATTAATAAGGGTGCGATAGGAGTTTTATTTAAAATTAACTACATAAACTATATTATCCACTATTGCTTAATTTCCGTGTAGGTCTAAATGAGCCTATCGAATTGGAAAGGAGGGAATATTCTAAACAGAAATGTACTTCTATAACTTTATTTTAAAATTTTATTTTTTGTGGAAATTTTCAAAATTTCATAAAATAATAAAAACAAAACAAGGAATAGAGAGGTGGCTCAATTGTAAATCAAATTTAGTCCCAAACTATTTTTTCATATACTTTTAACCATTTTACTATTTCTGTTCATATCGACAATTTGTTCATTATTATGAGATTTGTTTCAGGCCTAGACACTGGGGTGGGAGATTGGTAAGGTGATCCCCGAAGTAGATAATTTGAGCATAAGGTACAAGCGGGAAAGAAATTGTTGGGGGGTGAATGTCAAAATTGTAAATGAGATTATTAGAGATCGCCAAAGAAGCGAGCAAAATGACATAACATTGACCAAATGACCAACATTGACGATTGTTTACCTCTTTTGCCACTTAAATTACATTTCATTTGGAAGAATAGTACTCCTTCCGTCCCATAATTATTCTCCAGTTTGAGTTTTCATTTTTAGTTCAAATTGTACTAAAAGTGAAATCTCAAACTGGACAATAATTTTGGGACGGAGGGAGTAACACACATGGTCAAGAAGAGACAATAAAAGATCAAGTGTTAATGCAACTCTAGGCTCCAGCCCTTCTTACCAGAGGCATAAAATTATTGTTAGGAATTATGACCATAACGAAATTAGTCCATTCCAAAGCTTGGACAAGTAGTGACTATCCATTTCGAAGACTGTTTTCATAAGATATGTTAACTAAGATAGTTTGGTCCAAAATTCAAGTGTTTTCCTATGCTTTAATTCTAACAAAATCTCTTTTAACTTACATGTCCTGGGGTTCCCGATTACCATAATAGTACCAAGAAATTTCTCACCCAATAATTCAATCCGATGCCAAAGATCAAGCAAGCAACAAAAGGATTTGTGACTCGCACCAGTGCTATAACCAGACACGTCAGCCAATAGTTTCAACGAATGTCTCCAACTTCATTTCATTCAACTTGACTATTTACCATATTCAGTAGGAATATTTACTAATTACTAATGGTTAGAAGTAAACTTACTAAACCTAAGATTTTCCTTCATATTTTTTTTTTTTTAAAAGATAGCAATACACAATACACATACATGTAGGAGATACAATATAGAACGTAAAAAAAAAGAAAATTATAAATTTTAAAATTCAACGTTAGAGATATTTTCATAAAGCACATATAATACTCTTTATCTCAACACCGGCATTGTGGAACACGGGATCAAGCGGCTATTTTTGTCCTTAATTGAAGCACTTCAGAAAAAGAAGGCTTATGAAAATGTCTATTCAAGGTTTATGTTCATTTAACTCCACTGGCTTAGAAAGCAAATGCCTAGCCTTCATCTTGTTGATGGCACCCGCCGGATTCAAACTCTTGGGGCACGTCGCCGTACAGTTTTTGATCGTTCTGCACCTGTACAAACGCTTCTCATTCTCCGTCAGTGCTGTTACCCTTTCATCAGCATAATCGTCTCGGCTGCATATTCAAAGTTAAAAAACAAGCTTTCTGCATTAATATTGAAGCCTTTTGACTCCCCACTTCACAGCGAATATATGTAAATTAACGCGTAACAAATAACAAAGTGTGACGCCTATTAAAAGGCACAAGTATTTCTCACGTTATATAACGTCAATAGCAATATTGAATGCATTTTCTCTATCTTATGTTAAATCAATTATCTATTCATTTTATCCCAAAATCATTATCTATTTTAGATTTTTATAATTTTTTGTTCAAATTGTACTGAATAAAATACAATAATTTTGGGACACAAACAATATTAAAGAAAGATTATTGGATTAGTGTTATTAAGGGGCCGGGATCAACCTGTCACAAACCCATCGATAAGCTTGGATCAAAGCAGCCGGACCAAGAAATTCTTCAGGGTTCCACCAATAGGAGGGGCACGATGTTGTGCAACAAGCGCAAAGGATGCATTCATATTTCCCATCCAATCTAGCCCTTTCTGCCGGTGTCTGCCTATACTCCCTTCCATCTTCCGGCGGTGGTCTTTTCCTTTTCAGCCATGGTTCAATTGACCTATATGCACCACCACAAATATTAGACTAACTATTATTTAATTGGCAACCAAATACTTCCACAAAAATTAAATTATTAGGGAAAAATAATTGCCATATTATGACATAAATAAGAGTTACTTACTTGTATTGCTCATAGAAATTGGTTAAATCAACCACCAAATCTTTGATCACATACATATGGGGAAGAGGGGTAATCATTGTGGGTTTTCTTGTATCGGTGTCTATAGGTTTGAGACATGCCACTGTGTTTGTCCCATCTATGTTCATAGAGCAAGAACCACATATACCCTCCCTACACGACCTCCTATAGCTCAAACTTGAATCCTCCTCCGCTTTTATCTTTTGCAATGCATCCAAAACCTACAGAAAAATTTTCTCAACTTTCAACACTCTATACACTATAGATTTATAGATACTGAATTCATACAGTGAAATAATTCATGATGGCGCGACAGAAATGAGAAATATATATTTATATAGAGGGGCTTACCATTGGGCCACAAGTGGAAAGGTCGACAAAGTAAGATTTAAGGTAAGGCTTCTGGGAGGGATTGTCTGGGCTCCATCGATAAATTTGGAACTCCTTCCTCGTTGCTTTGATTTTGTGGGTGAGATCTTTGTGAGACTCCACAGCTTCTTGTGCATGTTGTAAAGCACTTGGATGGCCTTCTAATGTGGGAAAATTTCGCTTCGTTTGCTCTTTTTTGCTCATAAACAATCGCCCCACCTTCTTTAATCCATCTTTTAACGAAATCTTTGACATCTTGATTCGAATTATTGCTGAAAAATGATTTAAAAAAAAAAAAAAACACTATCGAGCTCAAATGGTTTGTGAAGAATTGAAAGCTGCCTTAAAAAAACGAGGAATCAATCCGAATTATGGTTGTATTTTCTTGGTACTATAAGGAAAACAAAAACCAAAAAAAAAGGCAAGCAAAATAAGGGAAACGTAGCATAGCATGCATGATTCAACGTGTACCATTGAGGTGGCACAACAAAGAGTTTCAATCAATTTCTTCATCTTCTTGAAGCTGCAGCTTTTGGGTTTGATGGGCCTTTTGGAGTTTCAAACAATTACAATGCCTCACTTCTGTTGGGCCAAGGCAGACACCTTCTCCCCGGTATTTGGGTCGCCAAATTGTCTTCCACTCTTTTGCCATGCTTTAGGGATACTTTTTTTATAATTGTATATATTTAAGGGACCAAGTTATAATAGATAATTGTGATCAGATAAATATAGTCAGTATATTATTATTCAGTAGTGTACTGGAAACTCATCGATAATTATGAATGCAAAATGCATATTTCTGAAATCTGATTTTTCCTCCAAATTTATTTTCTCCCCAATTTCACCTTCTCAACCGCATCTTGATATCTTTCCTCAACCCTCATTTGCAAAAATGAGATTTGTATTTTCGGTCTTTAAGATAAGTTATTAAAAAAACACTCATTTCATAAAAATGTGAACGGAGAATAAAAGTCTATTTTGAATTTGCATTACTAAAGAAAGTTTATTAAAAAGAAAAGAGAATACTAAACAAATTTACCATAAGTATTTCTGATTTTCCTAGTAAAAAAAAAGAAAATTGGACGGGTCATCTAGAAGGATAGTGAAGTAGTAGTCCTTTTCCAAAAGAACTCCATCCAAACTAAAAGGGGTTGGAATAGTCAACTCTTAGAAAGTCAAACATATAGCTGAACGTAATGCATGAAGTATTATTGTAGATCAATGGAGTCGGTGTTTAGTACGGATGAATATGACATTTGTCTTTTACATAAACCATTAATCCTCCAACTTTCACACACTTATATTTAAAAAAAACAAACAAAAAAGAAAAAAACAGTCCAACAATCAAACCGCAAATTAAAGAATATTTTAGTATGAAAAAATTTGGCATTGTATTATATTGTAATGAATAAATAAGAGCCATAAATTTGAGTCATACATGGAATAGCAAATGTTTGACCGATACCAATCAGTCAAGATGCCGAAACTTTGACAAATCCTCTTTTCCAAGTTGCAATTTGTAGCAAAAACATTAGGTCAATGAGTAATGACATGTAATTGCATCAATCCTATGCAATCTTTCTGATTTTTCTTCCCCATTATTAATTCAATATCCTAGTAGTGATTGATCTAACAAGTTAATAATCTATGGATTGTTATTTTTTGTTTAGCTAATAATGTAACACAAAAAGGATTAAAAAAAGTCTTAAAGCATGGTTCGACAATCAATATAAATTTTCTTAAAAAATATACTCTTTTCGTCCCAAAATGATTGTCCAGTTTGGATTTTCATTTTTGGTTCAAATTGTACTAAACGTGAAATCTCAAATTAGACAATAATTTTAGGACAGAGAAAGTATATTCTACTCCTTCCGTCCCATAATTATTGTCCACTTTGCCCAAAAAATTTTGTCCCAAAATTATTGTCTAATTTGACTTTTTATGGATCAAGTTACACATTTGTCCTTAGTAAAAAAAATTATTCATAAAATCTTAGTGATTAACAATTACTTATGTAAGGGTATATCCGGTTGTTTAAGGTAAAATATAGTTAAGTTCGACCAAAAATAAAATCTTTCATTTTAGTAAAATTGGACAATAATTATGGGAGGGAGGGAGTATTTATTTTTATTTTGGTGAGATTTAGTGATTTACATGTGCTGGTACCAACCTTGGTGCTTCTAGGCCTCTAGCCTTGTTGTGATTAATTAAAACCACATTTTTTCACAAGCGATAAGTACATATCATCACCTATCCTAATCCGTTGACTATGTAGAAATCTGCTTATATTGAGTCAAAAGAAAGGGAAACAACAATTAAATTGAAACGAACGAAAAGCAAATTAGTGACGTCTAATCACTCATTTCGAAGAAGTAAAATATGAATTTTGGGGGGTATTGGGGTTAGGTAAATCGATTGATTAAAACCCATATTGACGGATTCTATGTAGATTTGGACAGAAATTATACAATAATACCGGTCGGAAAATGCCCGCCAAAAAACCAATCTAATCAATCGATTTGGTGTCACTTAATTATGAATTTTACAGGGGGGAAAAATCCTAGAACTTACCACATCATGCTTTAGCTGCTTACTATTTTGGCTTTATTAAGGTTGCTTGTTGCTGCAATCAATCCTAATTAAGTGCCTAATTAGTTTTGCTGTACGTAGCCTTTTTTTTAGTTGGCTCAATTCATACAGTTAACAGTATAAATAGTGCAGTATAAAAGAAAAATAAATGGTGACAGGCGGAGTATATGCTACCATTCAAATTCTAAGAAAACGTAACCATTTAAAATGTTTGAGGTTAAATGTACCCCAAAAAAAAAAAAAAGGTTCTTGTTGATTAGGGCATGCATAATGTCCGATGACAGTGGGTTGGATAGTTGAATGAGATGGCAATTCAAGGGTGAGCTATTATCGTTACTCCAAGGATTTTAATAAAAACTTTGTTAAAAGTAGTGGAATAACCTATAACGAAATGAAGGGCACATAGGGCCTGAGATTTAAAGCCAATAAAAGTCTATATTTCATCTCAAAACCAAAAATTAGGGTGTTGTTGTATGTTTAATGTATTTTTTTCATTCTCATTTTAAACTCCATCTTAAAACTAAATGTGTTTTGCATTTTCAAACTAAAAGTAGTATTTTTTTTCATTCTCATTAATCACAACCATCACCGGCGGACCGTTATCGATTGGCCGAATCCTTGTCAATTTCTTTCATCCAGGTCGGTTGAAATCTGTCAGAATGATAATCGACTTACATTAGTCTAACAACGCAGATAGGGTATTAAAAATACCATTTTATCTTAAGAGAATATATATATATATATATATATATAATATTTTTATTTCAAACACTTTTAACTTTAAAACGAAAAATAAAAACAAAAATACTATTCATACAATCCAAAAGTAGTTGATCACTCCCGCTTGACACAGTCATAATATGGTACCTCATTTGTTCACTCCATTATTGTATTAAAGTAAAAAACGAAAAATAAAAAGCTCTAATTAACTGTCTCCAGGGGATTTAGTGTCCACCTCCACGTTAGTTTGGACAATGTTTGTTGCAAAATACTACATCTAAGTTTCATTTTTATTTATTTATTTTTGTCCAAACAAGTGTCGTGTTTATGTTATTATTATTATTATTGTTATTATTATTATTATTATTATTATTATTATTATTATTATTATTATCCTTTTTACCCTATTAAAGTAAAATACAGGATATTGATGTGGCAACTTCTTATTAAAAAATTTTGACTCCAAATGCACCATATTGCATTAAACTGCCATGTGTCATCCCTTTTTAAAAGAAAAAGAACTTCTTATCCGGAAAAACAAAAGTTACTTTACAAAAATAGGTACACAATTTTAACTCCTAACATTTATCATTTATCAATCAAATAAAGATAGCATTTAAATTTGCCCATAAACTTATCCCCTTTATTACTCCATATTCTTTTGTATGATTTCTGCATCGTTGTACTTTTTAATATTTTTTCTCCTTTTGCAGATGATTTTTTTTATTTTTATTTTTGACTAAAAAAAGGGGAAAAAAATGCGTAGCTATTTTATTTTTTCCAAATCAAGAATTCATTTATTTATTAACACAAAATTAAAGTAGAGGAGGCGCCCGGACAGATCTAGTTATTATTATAATACAAACATCATGTTACTCATGTACAGTTCACTTGCCCTTATATGCGTGATAACGTGTTATTCTCAACGAGGCTTTCTGATTTTTTTTTCCCCCAAAAAAGAAAATCATGTAGCACAAAACGAGATGAATTTATAACCGAAAATCTAAGTAAATCAGACCACTAATTTGTACCAAAGGAAAGGATCGAAAAGAAAATGAGACGACTAACTAATATTGCCCGACACAAAACATAAATCTTACTCATAATCAAGCATATGAAAAAATTGCTTAATGTTTATGATGAAGTACGTAGAAGAATGGTGGTTTAGTTGGGGAGAGAACAAAATCAATTTATGATTAAAGATGAGCATTTGTAATTAGGTTTTACTGTTTAAGCATGTGTATCCCTACAAAATTCTAAGCAGTAGTGATTAGATATGAAACTCATCAAATAATAATTCAAACAATTACGCAAATTATATGATAATTTTTTTTAAAAAAAAAATATTAAGTAGAGCTATCAAACAATAACAACCCAATGAAGTAGTGATAGCCAGGCAAAAAAAGAGAAATGCTCATGTACCACAAATATATTCTTCAAATCAGAACTTTCTCTGAAGAAAGAAGAAAAACCACTATAAAACGAATATTGTCACTGTATTTCTTTCTTTTTCTCCTTTCCCACTTTTTTTTTCCCTTGTGGTTTCTGCTCTGGTGTTATATCCCATGCCAACCTAGCTAGAAGAGGGAAACAACTACTGTAATGAAACTAGCCAAAAAAAATAAGAAAAGATTAACAATAATGATTCAACAAGATTAACCCCACATAACAAAAAGTTTGTAAAATATAAGACGCAATTGCTTAAGAATAAACAATCCCGATTATAACATGGCAAAATAATAGAAATTCTTCTTCCACACTAACTGAGATTATAAGGTTATAACTAATGATGCCAAATAAATGACCAGTAAGATTTGCTCTGCGACATGCTCCACCTGTCCCACAATTATTGGGCAATTTGGATTTTCGTTTATAGTTTAGTTTGTATTAAAAATGAAATCAGAACTGTACAATAATTTTGGAACGGAGAGAGTACATGTCTTAAT